AGTAAGCAGCCCTCCGCCCGAAATAATTGCCCGCCCCTGGGGTAGAACATAGGAATTTCCCTGATTCTGGAGCCAAGTCTAGGTTTTGGGGCATGTTGTATTTTCATCTTTTGACCTGTTTCCTATCCTGCTTCTCCTGAAGCACCCGAGCTCACTTTCTAATATTTCCTTAGTTGATACCTCTTGAAAGAATATTGGAAAAGGTGGCAGCCCATCCAAACTGATTAAACCTAATTTACATTGATATGCTCCCCAGTGTCTGAATCTAAAGCTCTAGAGAATGTAGAGATTGGGCTACTTTGAAGGTAAATACAAAAAACTGAGGCATATGACAAAATGCTGCATTCCTGCAAATGGATTATTGCATGCTTATTGGAGTCAGTTTTCCTGTTTGCTTTCTTTAGTTTTGGTCATTTTATTAATACCTACATATTAATAAAAATGTGCAACTTAAATTGGGAAATGTTAAATTAATTTGAGCAAAGTATCCTCTTCATAAGAGAGAGATGAGTACTTTCAGAGTCCCCCAAAACTCAGGAATCTCATTCAACGTTCATTTTATCTATATATGAAGTAAGTGGCTTCCTGTTTAATTAGACCTTGTTCACTGAAAATTTTGTAGTACATTTTGGTCATCTATGAAAATGAACCTTTTTGATGACAAGAAAATTGCAGTTACCTTACGTAATCAAACCAGCAGTTCATCAGTCATGTGTGCTATTTCTAGATGCCTCTGAAAAATGCTTGTAAAGGTAGCTTCTCTCTAACCATCTGCAGTTATTGGTTCTCTTATGCCCTACAACATGACGTTTATATTCCATATATATTTACCTTATCTGATGTAATCTGGATACGGTAGTTATCTAACTCATGTACTACTGCGAGAGGGAGGTTTATGTATTGGGAAATGTGTGCTCAAGAAATATTTAGGTATTCAAGTCTTTGACATACACTTTTCTGCTGCCCTGTAAATGCATGCTGGAGGAGATCTGAAAATAACATTAATCTTTGAAGATGCCATAATATGTGCTCTTTAAAAGAGAAAAAAGTCAGAACTTTTATAATGAATATCTAAGCAGCATATTTGATATGAGAACTAAATTTGAATGAAAGCCATGTCCAAATGTCTCTTGCCAAACCACTTAAGTGAAATCATGGCCCTTTCCTCTGGACAACAGAGAAATTCTTCCCCAAGTTTCCCATTCCAGAGGAATGAAAGACTGGGTTGACTCCATTCTCTAGGCTCCACTTACTACTGGGAATGAAATGGACACTATTTCTATTTTTTCTGAAAGCTGGGAAGGAGAGTAGACTTTCTCATCACTTAATTCTTTTAGCTTAGCAGATAAATGACCTTGCATTTTTCCCACTTCTACCTCATATAAGTACAGTTTTATTCCATCCTATCACTTTGCTAAGCAGGTAGAAAAGGGTTTGCCTCTCATTCTAGAGCCAAGTTAAGACATTTCCCATTTAAAAAAAAAAATGCAGAATCCCCTTTTAAATGTAGGGGACCATACCAGGAGGCCAAAAGCTTTATTCCTGATCAAACTCTGGATAGGCAAGAATAGTATTTGATTTTGAAGAGATGCATAATGGACATTTATAGAGACAGTTCAGCTCATCAGTTATTTTTAGTACTTGAAGAACATAGGAAAAAGTTTAGCTGCCATTTAACAATGCAAGCTCAGTAGCCTAACTGCTCTGAATGGAAGACTTTGATTTTTATTGTTGGCAGGGAGCCTTTCCCTGTAGAGGTGGAAGCATTTTTTTCCAAGGGGACTAATAAAGAAGGAGCAACAAAAATCACTGTACTTCAAATCACATTGCAGACTCCTGCAGTGAAAGGGAAAAACAGCAGAAGCATTTGTTCTTATCTTTTACTTTGAGCTCTGATGTATTGAGTGAGAGCTTGATTGTTTAGCTAGATGCACCCAAAAATGTGAATATTTTGACTGAATATCATCAATTGTGTTAGTAATGTGGTTGTGTTGGTGAATGCATTTCAAATTTGTTAACCAGCAACAACTGCTCACAGAGATACATTTTAAGAAATTTCAAAGCAAATGCAACTTTGTGATAAAATGTGTGTAGTAAAGAAGACAGTAAGAAAATAAGCTTTTAGTTCAGCCAGTTATTGTAAAAACAAACCAGCAAAGTATAACATACAAGAGTTTAAAATTGTGCAAAGGACTGAAAATAGTATCTGATATTGGTCTTCCGAACATTGCATTTGATCATCTCAGCTAACGCATCCAAATCTCAGTAAATGGTGTTTATTTGTTATCTGTCCTCTATTTTGAATAGGTTTTGTCAGATTTTTAGAAGGCTACTATATTATCTTAATTACAAAAAGAAGAAAGATGGCAGATATTGGTGGACATGCAATATATAAAATAGAAGATACAAATATGATCTACATTCCAAATGACTCTGTACGAGTCACTCATCCTGATGAAGCAAGGTAAATGATGCTTTTTACTGAGGTTTGCTAGCTAATGTTGAAACTTTTATAAACTCTGGTTCATAGTCCCAGCGCTGCTGGCATAGCCCCTGGCCCAAAGCCCACAGCGGGCAGCCCGCCCTTGCCCCTTACACAAATCTGGGGGGCACATGCCCCCATGCCTCCCCTGGGGGTGTGTGTAGCAGTGGGGAGCCACCCTGCTTCCCTGCAACCCCTGGACAAGCTGCCTGCAGCTCTGTCCTGCACCCTGCCCCACCCCAGTTGGGCAGCGCTTGCCCCTGCCCAATTCCCTCCATCACTGTGTGGACCTCGATCTGCTCAACACCCCTTCCCCCTCTCAGACTTACCAGCTGGATGCTGCTCTCCAAGTTGCCGGGCTGTATATTGGCTATAGGATCAGTATCGGCTGATATGGCTAGTTAATAATTGGCCATTGGTATTGGCCAAAAATATCTTTATCAGTGCACCCCTAGTTCATAGACTTCCCTCTATTATATACTTCAGAAGGAAGCAGTTTATTGAACATCTGAGCCTGGTTCTGTAATGCTTCTTATTACACTAGTTTTATGTTGATAAACTGGAATAGTAGAGTAGAGAATTTGGCCATAAATTCTGCAGACTTTACACGGAGGGGAAAATGCATCTAAGTCATGCTTCTGCATGGGTTTGCCCACCACTTGCATCATTTATGTCAGCTACAACTGTATGGCCTGCATGACTATTGGGAGCATGTCAACACTAATACTGGTTTATGCTTTAATGCTGTCCCTTTGAGTAGCACTGGATTTACTGTTGTCATGTTAACTTCATTGAAAGGAGTCCCTTGCATTCCACAATGTTTGTTGAATAGATGGGGGAAAAAACCCAGTTGCAAAATGTTCTCAGACCAGATACACTGCTGCTGTTGTGGAGGGTACTGGGCTGGCCCAGGATTGAGGCAAGAAATATGCATTTATCAAGATTTAGCAAAGTGGCTTCTCTTAAATGGAGCATTTTTCTTGCAGATGCTCCCTTGACAGGATGTTTCATGTAGAAAGGAATATAGTCCTCTGAGATTTTAGAGTCATGAACAATATGCAAATATATCCCAGCTTTATTTTTAGCAGGATTGAGGGTAATTTATTTCTAGATCACAGACAAGTAGTATAGCTAAATTTATTTACTGGTTTTGTACAGTGTGCAGATTATCTAAAGGTCACACAAATCACCATAAACTAACTGCAGACAATAAATCTAGGTAGTGATAGCTATTAAATAAATGTGGATATTACGACACACAATTATAAAAGTATAATGCACATTGGTACTTCTTGTTCAGAACTAACAGGGAATATGATTGAAATAACTAAATCAAGATGTAGAGGTATATGATGTTTACTGTTTGGGATTTTGAATTTATTTGAATCTTTCCAACAAAGAGGTTTTGTGGTGCTTGGCATCTAGAGAATTGCTAGGGATATGGTAGGTTGAAGTAGATATTGGGATTGTTTCCTTGATTGACAGTACTGTATCCTACAGCTGATAATCTTTGGGAGTTTGGGTTAAGTACTGCCAGCTCTGGTCTTTAACTTATAGAAAATAAAATTGCAACAGAAGTGCATCCATTGCAGCTTAGTCGGGTCCGGTCCATTGCTGCTTTTGCAAGGTTACTTTTTACTGGAAGTAACAAAAAAAAAAAGATTTGTGAGAGAACTCTGAAGTAGTGGCTAAACAAAGGATATCCAATTCACCCAGCCCCACATCACATTTATTGTAGCAGGATTGTCTGGCTGACAAAACGCAGTGAAAACATAATTGTAGTAATATAGCTGAGAATTACTGGAGACAATGAGGTTTTTATGTAACTTGATTGGTGAGATCATCAGACTAATTTTTTTGTGTGCATGTGTTTGTTTGTGGTTTTTCTTCTTTTGCAATAATAACCTCTTGCTGTGTGGAAATAAAACTTGTATTCCCTAATCAATTATATTTTGTTTAGATATCTGCGAGTCTTTCAAAATGTGGACCTATCTAGCAACTTTTATTTTAGGTAAGTGTTTATCAGGACCCTTCTACATGTTACAGCTATCATCCAATTAACTGGTTAATTGGAGATCCTGGTTTTCTCTGTTTACAAATTGCAAATTCTCTGATAAGAATTCCAAATTCTCTGATTTAAAAACCCT